TACGCAGACACGGGGTTTGCCGGACAATTTGCGAAATCGCGAACCGAACGTCGGAGCGGAAAAGTGTTGTGCTTTCGGGTGCAAGGAATATCTCGTGTAATGTATAAAAAGACTTTATTGCTCGTCACGTGTACAATCGTGCCGATGTCTCCGAGAGGTGTGTGTGAGAGTCTTTGTGTTGCTATCGCTGTTACCGACTCGCCGAACTCGCAGCGCCTCTACGACTTCTCTAATGAAGCATCGCGCAACATCCTCCCCTTTTTATAACGAAAATTAACTTGCTCAATATAAACTTATAGGGTATAGCTCAAACAAAACTATCGCGATTATTTTACAATCGATGAGACTAACCTTTGGTGTACTAATACATAAATCAAAATTCTAACTTAAACCTCTCTACTTTCTTTGATTAACACGTCGGTTTCCCTAATTATTGATAATGTAATCTTCTCGGCGTGTTATGTTGGCGACTACTTTGTCGCAAGGGTTCCGGTTGTTCAGCCGGCGCTGGTTCTTTATCCGCCTCCTGCCGCGGCTGATCTTCATTAGCTACTGTTCCCCAATCATCTTCATCTTCATCGTCGTCTTCCATCGCTCGTCTGGTTGATTCCAGAAAACTCCGGTTGCGTCGCAACAAGCCTCCCGGGTATCGTACGTCATACGACCTTGGTTCAGTACGACGACGTACAACAGTGCCATATGCTCGCTGGTCCTTTATCCACACCAGTTCACCCGGCATCAATTCTGGTAGCTCTCGCACTCGATGTCTCTTGTCGTACTGCTGTTTGTTGCGAAGCTTTCCCGCCCATAACTGTTGGCGGTACGCTTTCAAATCGGGCCATTTGGGTGTTAGTGTCATCGCCGAACATGGTACCGGCGTGCGAAGTTTTCTTCCCATGAGCAATTCACACGGGCTGCTGCCTGTTTCCAGAGGAGAAGTACGATATGCCAATAAACCCAGGGTAGGTTCTGTTTCCTTCTCCAAGATGCGCTTGACTGTTTTTACTGCCGCTTCAACTTTCCCGTTGCTCTGTGGATATCTCGGGCTGCTTGTAACTATGGCAAACCCGAAATTCTCGGCAAACTGCTTGTATTCCTGGCTGCTGAACTGCGGACCATTGTCTGAGCGTACCTGCTCTGGAATTCCGTGTCTCCCAAATATATCCTTTATCTTCGCGATCGTGTTTGCTGCTGTAGTTGATGACATGTATACGACCTCTGGATACCTAGAGAAATAATCAACCACCACCAGATAGTGTCTTCCTTCTCTTTCACAGAAGTCTACTGCTACTTCCTGCCATGGTCGTTCAGGTGGTTCTGTCACTATTAGAGGTTCCTTGGTTTGCAACCGATGTTCCAAACATATGGTGCACTTCAAGCACCGTGCTCGCACATCTGCATTGACTCCTGGCCACCATACAGATTGCCTGGCTCGTCCCTGACACTTCTTCTCTCCTAAATGACCCTGATGTATCCTCTCAAGCACCTCGTTGCGTAGACCTTTTGGGATATGTATCCGCGTGCCGCATAGGAGGGTCCCATCTGGTGTCACCGTCAGGATACCTTTTTCCTCGAAATATGGTAATAGCTTCTTTGGTACATCTCTGCGATACCTCGGCCATCCTTCTCGTACATATTTCAAAACTTCTTGCATGACCATGTCCTTGTCTTGCATCTCACGTATTTTGATCGCAAATTGGTCGGACATCCGTCTCTTAACAACTGCTTGTACGAACTTTTCGATGCCGTCATCACACAAGCAATCCTCAGCGTCACGGGCATCTGACAACGGTGCCCGCGAGAGTGTATCCGCAGTCATCAAAGCTTTCCCTGCAACATACTCAACAATATAAGCAAAACGCATTAGTCTCATTCGAAACCGTTGTAATCTCGGGGAGAGATCACTAATAGGCTTGGATCCCAGAATCGAGATCAATGGCTTATGATCTGTCCTTAAGACAAGGTCTGGTGCTCCTATGATGAACGCTGCAAACTTCTCACATGCCCACGTTAATGCTAACGCCTCTTTTTCTATTTGAGCGTATCTCTTTTCGGTTTCGGATAGAGCTCTAGACGCATAGTAGACTGGCCTCCAATCTTCTTGTTCTTCATCGAATTGCTCCAGGACTGCTCCTAATCCATACGACGAAGAGTCTGCCGAAATTCTTGTCTTCTTATTTGTGTTAAAAAGAGCGAGCGCTGGGGCTTCGATCAATCTTTTCTTGACCTCTTTGAAGGCCTTTTCCTGTGGTGATTCCCACATAAACTCGACGCTATCCTTCAACAGTTCTCTCAGTGGTTTGGTGATATCCGCAAGATGTTCTATAAACTTTAACTGGAAATGGACCATTCCCAAAAACCTTTTCACCTCCGTAGTGGTGGTTGGCCTCTTCATGCTGGTTATAGCTTTCACTTTCTCAGGATCGGGCTGCACGCTTTCATCCGCTGATACAATGTATCCCAAGAATCTTACGCGCTTTTGTCTGAAGACACACTTATCTTTGTTTAACGTAAGACCTGCCTCTGATAGACGCTGCAATACTGCACGCAGACATTTATCATGTTCTTCAAGAGTTCTTCCATGAACAAGAACGTCATCCGATAGGTTCACCACATTTTGTAGTCCATCCAATACTGTAGACATACTTTCTTGAAAGTGCTCCGCGCTGGGACACAAACCCATCGGTAGTCTATCACTGCAGTAGCGACCAAATGGCGTGATGAAAGTAGTTACATGTCGGCAACATTTGCATAAAGGCACCTGATGATATCCCTTGTTTGCATCAAGAAGGGAAAACCAGCGGGCTTCTCCTAGTTGAGCAAGGTTTTCTTCAACACTCGGCATGATGTGACGGTTTCTTACAACGCATTTATTGAGTTCAGTGTAGTCTATGCAAATCCTCACATCTTTCTTGTTGGCCTTGAGCACGGAAACCATCGGTGCGCACCATTCCGTCGGCTCGACGACTCGACTGATCACGCCCAACTCTTCCAACCGCTCTAGCTCTTCTTTGACCTTGTGCATCAGATGCAGTGGAACTCTGCGAGGTACTGATACTGCATACGGTTTGGTATCTGGTTTAAAACAAATGTGGTAAGGTTTACACTTTCTGAGACATCCTAACCCTTCAAATACGTTACTGAATTCACTTTCAGGTTTGTCGTTACTAACTTCAGCAATGACCATGTCTATTACCCAGTCTAACATGCCTAACGCTCTAATGGCCGGACGGCCTAACAATGGCTGCATGTTCTCCTTGACGACATATATGTGGTCGATAGCTGCTTTATTCCTCCACTCTATTTTAGCCTGCAACTTACCCAGCACGTTGAGAGGTATTGAGTCTCCCACTTGCAGTCCTTTACCTGCGTTTGTCAATGCAATGCCGACTAGATGCCGCCTATAGAGTTCTTCGCTTATCACCGTCACGTCAGCTCCAGTATCTACCTTGACTGATACGTCCTTTCCGTTGATGCTTACTTGCGCCATCCATGGCGGTTCGGAGTGCGCTGTCTTCGTTCTTATTCTATCTATGTTTCTTCGTTGCTTCTTGTCTTCGGTATTCTGTGTTTTGCTTTGTCCCTCTTTTTCTTCTTTTATTATTGCTTGTACGCCGCCCAAGTAGAGATCTTCTTTATCGTCTTCTTTTTCTGCTTCATTCTTACTATCATTTTTATTCACTTCATGTACCGCTTTCTTTCTGCACATCGCCGCCCAATGTCCTGTCTTTTTACAAATATTGCATGCTGATTGCCTGGCTGGGCACAAGGAAAATGCATGTTGCGGTGTCGTGCCGCATCGGGTGCACCGTTTCGCCGTTGTTGCCTCGTCCTTCTTATGCTGTCGCTGGAAGCCTTTCGCGTACTGTTTGCCACGTGTTCCGCGGGAACTGCTGACTCTGTCGAGGTTAGCTGCTACCTCCGTTCCTCTTAAGACTGCCTGTTGTGTTCTGACCTCTTCTTTTGTTCGTACTTTCATGACAGCCTTTTCCAGCGTGAGCTCAGAGTCACATTGCAATATTTCCGATAGCTTTTGGTCCTGAATGCCTGCTACAATTCGGTCTCTAATAAGTTCATCTTTTAATGTACCGAAATTACATGTTTCCGCTAAACGATAGAGATCTGCGATAAAGTCCTCTACCGCTTCCTCGTTTTGTTGCGTGCGCCTATTGAATCGTGCTCGTTCTAATACTATATTTACGCGAGCTCCGAAATGTTCTTCAAACTTTTTATGTACTATCTTATAGCTTTTTGCTTTTATATTACTGAGTTTAAATGATAACAGAATGTCTTCCGCACGCGGTCCCATTAAGTATACAAATTGATTAACTTGCGTCTCCTCTGACTGATTTGCAATGCCACTGCCTTGTCGGTATCGTTCCCATCTCGTGGACCATCGCTGCCAATCCTCCGATCGGAAACTGAAATTTGGCGGAGGAGGTAATTGCACGGCTGCCGCCATGTATATCGAGGGCTGTGTGCTGCCGCCTTCACCGCCCGGCATCGTGTCGACTTAACCTCTCACACGGATCTTGCCCCTTTCTTCGCTGCTTTGCGATTATGCACTTGACTTTGATTGTCCCTTTTATTCGTTACGGGTTCGCACGTTACCACGCTGCCACCATGTTGTGCTTTCGGGTGCAAGGAATATCTCGTGTAATGTATAAAAAGACTTTATTGCTCGTCACGTGTACAATCGTGCCGATGTCTCCGAGAGGTGTGTGTGAGAGTCTCTGTGTTGCTATCGCTGTTACCGACTCGCCGAACTCGCAGCGCCTCTACGACTTCTCTAATAAAGCATCGCGCAACATTCACCGAAGCTGCGTACTCAGGGGGATTAGCCAGACCCCAGGAATCGATCGCGAGCGCGATCCGAACGCGCAAACACAGGGTTTGCCGGACAATTTGCGAAATCGCGAAAAGAGCGTCGGAGCGGAAAAGGATCGAAACTGCGTACTTAGGGATACCTAGTACACCCGAGGAACGAATCGCGGTCGAGATCCGACCATCCGAACGGAGGGGTTGCCCGGACAGTCCGGGGATCCTAGACATCGGCTACAAGAAGTCGGGCCGGAATACGGTTAGTAGGGACTGGGGGTATAGGCAGCAGGGTCGCCGCCATCGGCGGACACTTAGAAAACGACCTGGACGTCGTCTCCAGGAAGTCGACCCGGAATCGGCATTAGGGACGTAGGAGAGACCGTGCGCACGGGTCGGCGCCCTCGAAAATCTAATTTTGAAAGAGTTGAAAAACCGCTACCCGGGAGCTGATTAAGCGCGTCGTAAATAGTGTACTGACGGCGGAAATTTCCATCGAAAACATCTGGCGCACACCTGGCGAGCCGAAACTCGTAAACAGCCATTGTAACAGCGTAGAACGGAAAATTACCGCGAGGAGAAAGCGGCCGAGACCCCATGGTAGGGGTAAAACTTCGGTGGTAGGGAGCCCGAGAGAGGAATATTCCTCGAGGCAGTCTCTCGTTGGCGCTCGAACGGTAGCTATCTTCTCGCGCGTATGTCCCGGCGTATTGTAGTTAATATCGCGAAACGCGTAACGGAATACGATTTGTAAGCCTACCGCAGTGTCCGAAACAAACGGGAACGCCCGCTAACAGCGTTACGTGACGTTGATACGAAAGGCGTACGGGTTTTCGCGTACCTGAATCGTGAAATCGCACTTTGCGAGACGTGCGACCGCCATCTTGAGCGGCAATCAATAATTGTGAACCACCATCATTGTGAAACGATAGTTAACAATAAAAGCAATAATTATTTGCAAAAATATATACAAAATTATCAGTTACTTACCCTCAACTTACCTGAACAAGCGGCTGTCCGGCCATCTTGGCGTTAGCGTTGACCGAGCTTCAAGGTCATCATCGATTCTGCTTCGGAGGAGGCCATAGATGAGGAAACCGTGGCGGAAACCTGCAAAGAAACGGCATTGGTTAGAGTTACGCGGACAGTTCTCATACTTACCTGGTTGTCCGGCCAGCTCCCAGACGCGGTGATCCTGGACATCGGTGAGCAGCGGTGATCCATGACATCGGCGATGGGGATGAGGACCGTGTAGCGAAAACCTGAAAATAAAAGAGAATTAGTAACGTTGACTTACATTAATGTTGGGACCGAGGGGCTGGTCACTCTCGATTTCAATGGACCAATGATTTTCAAAAGAAATCGATTTCTAACGATTGCCTATAGGATTTCCGCGATTTCAAAATGTATACGATTACCTGTGATTCCTCATGAATTTGCATGATTCTTAATGAATTCTAATGAATTTGACATTTCAAAATCAATGATTTCTAGATTATAACAAACAGAAAATTAATTAATTAATTATTATTATTATTTATTAAATTAATATTATTAATATTATTAAATTAAAATTAATAAATTTATTATTTTTTATTTGCTTAATAGTTTTTATTGCAAGTAGGGCTTGCCTTGCTTACAAACGGCTATCGCCAGAAGACCTGTAATAATTGTTAATTTAAGAGTTAAAAATATGTTTAAATAGACAGTTAAATACGTTTATATAACTATGTATATCCATTGGTACAGGTATCAGCTTTTTATTTGATTTTAATTCATACCAATAACACAATACACCAATCTCTTTGATATTACCTTTTATTTCTGCGTAAGAACTAGAATATTCATGACTTTTTAATGTTTGTCCTTCTAAATAGGCAAAGCTCAAAATCATACCAACAAAGCACTTAGTACTATTACATTTTCTAAATAGACATCAATCACCAATATTAATTTCCTCGCATTTTTTAAAGAAAACCTGTTTCTCATTACATTTATCGCCATTTATTTGAATTTTCTTTTTATTCTTTGTCAATTCCGAATCTCGAACCCTTTGTAACCGATCACTACTTAAGTTAAACGAATTTTTATTTAATAGCCAACAGTTCATTATTCAAATGATCTCTTACAACAACAAATGGACTCTGTGTATGAAGTTAAGTTTTGAATTTATTATAACTTTTTAATTCTAGACGACCTTTAGAAAGAATGGTCAAATTCTCTAATAATTCTTGTTTACTTTCTTCTGAACTTTCGTCTGTACGTGAATCTGATTTTTTAATTACATTTTCCAAATTTATTTCCCCTACGTCTCTCTCATCGTCATTGTTACATTGGGTGTCGAGCTCGGTGTCGATTGTTTCTTATTTCGGCTTTGCTCGGTCGCGCTGTGCTCAGCGGCGAACCGTAATATATATTCAACGAAAGAACATCCCGCCTCTGCGCATAAGGGAAAAACATGACGCCCAACTTAGTACCGTGGCATAGAGAGGATGAAACCTGGGGGCCTATTACGTATCTTTTCACGAGGCAAAAATACGAAAAGTGAATAGATTTACTAGATTTCGACCAATGAAATCGTAGATGCTCTTATAGTATACATATTATAATAGCTTGAAAACATTTGTGATTTCAAGCGATTTCCGAATTTGTGTGATTTCGTAACGATTTCCTACAATTTCACATGATTCCTCAATGCAAAGAGAAATCACTCGACTTCCATTGATTTCCAGTGATTCTCCGCGATTTCCTATGCGATTTCGAATCAAGTGGTTCAATGATTTCCGAAGTGACCAGCCCTTCGGTTGGGACTTACCCGATCAGGCGGTTGTCCGGCCATCTTGGTTTCACGGATGAGGCAGGTGAATGACAGATAGCGGAGGCGATAGGCAGAGCATCCCAGAGCAGGCAGCTGTGGCGGGAATCTAAAAAGTGAAAGGGTTAAGGAGATATACGTATATACATACCTGATTAAGCTGCTGTCCGGACGACAGGCACCCCTGGCTAGCCGATCAAGGTCATTCCTAGCGGTATCCAGAGCACAGGCGTTGCTTACTAGGCAGCTGTGGCGGGATGAAAAAATAAAATTGTTTAAACAAATTGTTTAACTTTTGGTCCGTTTGCATTACGAATACCTACCTTCTCGGTAGTTTAAGGTTAAACCGAGTGGCGACCGATGACTTAGAGGACAAAATCGCGTACCCCGTAGCCCGATTATGTATCGTTCGGTTACAACCTAACCCTGCAACCGACGCCAAAGATCCTGTCAGCCGCATTGACACCTCTCAACTTGTTATTGAAGGCCAAGGCCGGAGACCAGATGTCAATGAAGCGTGAAGAGACAGCGACCAAGGAGAGTGTGAAAACCAAGCCGGAGAGAAATTCCACAGATCCCCGTATTCACTGTCACGACCTTTTTGCACTCCCGGACCGCTCCGGGACGTGTGCCGGATCAAAAGAACTTAGGAGAGCGGGATGGTAGGCCTCTCCAGTGATTTCTTCGCACCTCCGATACTCCACGAAATATTCCGAATGTTGGGCGCCAGACGCGTACATTCGCGTCCACGAAATCGCGAAAACCTAAACGAGACGCAAAACGAAGTGTGGAGGTGCGTGGAATCGGCTAGTTTGACCTAATCACGGGCGGGGTTAATGAAGGGCAGCGCGTTATTCGGCGGGGTGACACGTTAATTTCATACTCAGTCAGATAACAAAAAAAAATAACATTTATTGAGTACTGGTTGTCGAGAAAATAATAACGTTTATCCATCCGGCTTCGATCGAACACAAAATAAATTCGATAAATAAATCAAGAATAGCCGGTGGCGGGGTGTCGGGATTCATCTAACAGAAATAATATTAATGCGGACGCGAGACACCCACGGAGTATTAAGTGAGTCCCTAATAAACACGCTGAAGGCGCGATTCTCAAACAATTAATAATTCGAGTCGAAAGACGCAAGAATACTGCACTTAATATCACTAATAAGAGTGAAGTTCAACGTAAAATGTCGCAAAATAATGGTACGTCACGCTTGGATTGCGTGACAACCACGTCCGGAACTGTACGAAAACTCTGTCGCCACGATATCTTAACCTGACGCGAGTGATTCTGCTCGGGCGCAACGGGGAGGCGCCGAGTCATTTAACCAGGCAAAGAATATGATAACTAACGTAGATTAATGCGGTTCTCCAATGATGCGGAATACCGGTCAACGCGAAATACTAGAGTCGCGATATTGCTAATAACCACGGAACGCCATGAAGAACTACGCAAGTAACATCTAAACGCACGAAACGGGTGAACGCCGGTAATTTTCTTAACGCGAGTACAAGTCTAACATAATTAATCAATCGGCGGGAACAACATTCAACCGCGACTAACAATGCCATCGACATCCCAACGCAAAATTCGAGGCTATCGCGAGCAGGGACGCCATAGGACGTAACGCAAGTAATACCGGACGCAAAGTTTCTCAACGCGAGAGCAAACCTTACGCGATCACCCGTAATAACGAGGTCCGAACCCAAATCGATACGCTAACACCGACGCTCAAACACCAGAATTTCCCGACGCGAAGAAACGGTAACGCAATTTACGAAGTACCGGCCCGTATGCGGCCGTACACCAAGGTCGCGAGGACAACGCAATATACTCGCGATATTGAACTCATTAACGCCTATCGC